CGAGTATTAATTGGCTTAAGTTTGGACATATGGTTCCGTAGTTGATCTACGTAATTTTCTGAATTAAGTTTTTGACTGTTAGTATTAGGGTTAATAAATTCACCTGGTAGTCTCAGAGTTGTTCCGAAAACCAGTTCCGCAGCTGAACACTGTGCGTCAGTTTTGACAGATGTTCGTATTCCCAACATAACTAATGGTAGGAATTCTGTCCACTGATTGGGGTTTGAGTGAGATATAAGGGCGGTTTTTAGCTGACGGTGAAAACGTCCTACCATCCCATTAGCCTGAGGATGATATGCAGTGCAGCGTATCCTATTGGAGCCTGGAAGTTTAGCCAAGTTATTAAATAGTTTGGATTCGAATTGCGCTCCTCTATCCGTCGTTATTGTTATGGGTGTACCAAAAATGGTTACCTAGTTCTGCATGAAAATTTTGGCTACTGTTTCCGCTGTGATGTCCGCTATCGGGATGGCTAAAGGGAATCTGGTAAATCGATCTATGCATGTAAAAAGATAATTAAAACCGTTTGAACGTGGTACTGCCCGGGTGCCGCAAAATATTATTAGTTTTTATAACCTAAGAGGCTATGACCCCTCTTTTTGTTTATCCGCATTTTCCCAATATTCTATGAACAGAGACTTTTCGGATTTTTATTTCGTAGTCAGCGTTGGCTGGCTGAAGCGGACTTCTTAGCATCTGAACAGGCACCCATACGTCTGATACTGCGCAGAACGGTCTCAGAAGGTTGTAAATAAGATAAGAGTTCTTGGTACAAAGCGAGTTTCTCCTCTTTACTTAGCACTTTCCCGCCGAGTTCATCGCTTATCGATGTGTCTTTCAATGAATTCTTTTCCTGGTTTTTCTTGACTTCTAGCCAATTAATATCTTCTAACCAATTATCACGAGCATCAACCTGCTAAAATAACAATAACCGTTAATCATAATTTTTCTACTAACTTTCTTGAAAATTAAAGTGCCAGCGGAATCGAAGTGACCGTCTTCCTCAAGCTCTTCTTTCATGTTAAATGGAGTTATTTTAACTTCATCATCATACTCTAAAGTCGTAGCTTCCTGACCTTGTAGAATAATATACGGTAAACAACCAGATACCATCTATATCTGCTTCATGTAATCGGAAACAATCTTCATCGTTAAAGTCTTCTTCATCTCTATCCAAAGATGGCTGTAGGAAGCAATTTCCCACAGATTCAACTCTAAGCTAATCTCTAGACTGTCGAGTACAGAGTCTTGGTCTGGCCAAAGTCAGAACAAGTAAGCTATTTGGCTATATAAACGTTATCTGTTTCTAAAACATAAATTAACATCATTAGTGTGCAAACGAACAGTACAGTCTATTAATACAGGAAAAAAGAGACAAACAACCTACCTAACAGTAGCCAGAGAATAGGAAAAATGAGTCGACAAGCAAATATTGTTTTACAATGAACATTAAACTGTGATTGGTTAATAAAGAGATACAGTCGTACAAGGTCAAAAGAAGTTAATGTGGTGGTGGGTGTTTTCCTTTATTATTGGTGGGTTCGTTTATCGATCACACTTTACACTCCCCCCGAAACACGCACCACGTCCATTGTCCAGGGCCGTCGTCGCCGTCAGACAACCGGCTTCTTCCAGCAGGCATAGGCTTCGCACATCTCTGAAGATTTCTTTGTTTGAGGTTCTCAACTTTGCCGTGCGGACTCGTCCGTCCGGGCCATAGCTTACTTGCTCGACTATAGCCTTAGGCCATAGACTTCTATTCATTTCGACGTTACTAACGAGGACTAAGTCACCCGGTTGTAAGTTCTTGTGTACGTCCAACCATTTGTCTCTTGCTTGAAGAGTCGGTAAATATACTTTTATCCATCTATTCCAGAATGCGGTGGTTAGTCTTTGAGCTTCTTTCTATCTTTTGTTGTATAATAACGTCTTGTCCACCGAAGCATCGCCGAATGATAATTTTTTATGAATCAACAACAACTTGTTCGGAGTAAGAGCTTCTAGGGTACCAGGGTCATCTGTTATCTTAACCAGAGGTCTGTCGTTCAGTATCCGTTCCGCCTCAGTTAAGAAGGTTTGCAGGGTTTCATCGGTGAACACGTTTTGGAATAAAAGCACTCTTAAGATTCTTCTAATTGATCTTATGATGCGTTCCCACACACCACCTCGATGACTTGCTCTAGGTGGGTTAAAACGCCACTCACATTCTCGTTCTTTAAGGTGGTTTTCTATTTTATTAGTATTCCAGGAACGTATAATCTGTCTCAAACTGACATCTACACCTCGGAAGTTTGTGCCGTTATCACTAAAAATACGCTTTGGACATCCTCTTCTGGCAATAAATCTTGATAATGCGCATAGAAATGAATCCGTATCTAAAGAGTAGGCCATTTCGATGTGAACGGCTCTAATAGATAAGCAGGTGAATAAACAGCCATAACGTTTCTCGACAACTCTACCACGTTTGGCATAGAACGGTCCGAAGTAATCCACACCTACTTGACTAAAGGGTGGCGAATGAGTCTCTACTCGGTATTCCGGCAACGGTGCCATTAATTGGGAACACGGTTTAGGATAAAGTCTTCTACATAAATAGCATCGTTTTAGAACCTTCCGAACAGTAGAATATCCTCTAACAATCCAATACTCCTCACGAATACTACTCAGAGTTTGAGTAACTCCAACATGTGCGTTAATCACATGATAACGCATTATAATCATATCTGTAACAAAATGATTATTAGGAAGAATAATCGGATATTTGGTTTCAAATGGTAAACATGATAACTGCAAACGTCCTCCCACGCGGATTTCGCCTTCAAACATAAAAGGGTTGAGATTTCTTATAGAACTTTGACGAATTAATTTTTTTCTCCTGTTCACCTCGTCCATTGCTTCTTGACCCTTTTGCTGTCTAAAGGCGTTTTCTCCGAGCGTCAACGGTGAGCTGTTCAGGATTCTTTTTTCGGTCGGGTACGCGATACTTTGGACTAGTTTAATTATGTCACTCTTCGAATTCTCGATATCCTCAGCACTTAGTGCACCTAAGGTTAGGCGATTTCCGTTCCTTTTGTTTAACATATTATTGATAAGCCGTCTGCAGTATGAAAATACCCTTAGAAGTCTGGACCACGACTTGCACGTACGAAGTCGATCTAGGAACTCATCATCGTGTCTTGGGAGTTCGAAATCCTCTGTCAATACATGGGCTATAGTGTTCTCAATCTTTTCTATGTTAGGCCACTTATTTTCTTCCTCCCACAAGAATCTCGGCCCTTGTAACCACTCTCTTACCTTAGCCTTATCATTTAGTGATAATCCACGAGACGCGTGATCTGCAGGATTCAATTTACCTTTCACATATCTCCATTGGCTCGGCGTAGACAACTCGTGTATAGTTTCTAACCTGTTACTCACAAACCTTTCAAACCTTTTAGTCGTATTTTTTATGCAATGAAGCACGACTGTCGAATCGGTCCAATAAATGACTGACGAAATGGGGATACTTAACTGTTCCTTTATGTGCCTTCCAATCTTAGCACACAGAACACAGGCCATTAATTCCATTCTGGGTATAGTAACAAGTTTTAGAGGAGCAACCCTAGACTTAGCTAGCAGGAATGAACAATGGATCTGACCAGAAACACTTTCATAACGAATATACGCAACAACACCATAAGCAAGCTCGGAGGCGTCGGCAAAACAATGAATTTGTGCAGATGATGGTTCAAACCCTGGTTTCAAACACCTTGGTATTCTTAAGTGGTCTAGCCCTTTTATATGTCTACACCAATTATTCCACTTTGTTTGACAATCTATGGGTAACTCGACATCCCAGTCTAGTTTCTGACGACAAGTATCTTGTAAGATCACTTTAGCCGGTAATATTATTGGGGCTACAAACCCAATTGGATCAAAAATAGATGCTACATACGATAAAACATTCCTTCTGGTGGGGTTTCCATGAAATTCGTGAACTTTGAAACATAACTCGTCTGTTCGGACGTTCCACTCTATTCCCAGAGTTCGTTTACTTGTCTCATTGGACTCACAGACAATAATGCTTCCTTCAGCACGGTCTTCTTCTGGAGTGAACTCCATCACTTCAACGCTATTACTAGTCCATTTAGTTAAGTTAAATCCTCCCAAACTTAGGAGTCTTTTAAAGTGCGAATATGTCCGTTTGGCTTCTTCTATGGTATCCACATTTATCAATAAATCATCCACATAAAACTGTTCTTTAGCTGTTTGCGTAACAGCCCTGGGAAATTTATCTTGATTATCAGAAATCGTTTTCTGTAAAGCAAAGGTGGCGCAACATGGCGATGAAGTTGCCCCGAACAGATGAACTTCCATTCTATAGATCCCGGGTTCCTTTTCTAAGTCTCCACCTGGCCACCACAAATATCTAAGAACATCTCGATCATGCGGCGGAACTATTACTTGATGGAACATGGCTTCAATGTCTGCCGTAAGACCTACTGGTCGTTGCCGGAACCTGGTGAAAACGTCTACTAGGTTATTGACTAAATCAGGCCCAGAATAAAGGCTCTTATTTAAAGACGTTCCAGCATACTGAGCTGCACAATCGAACACTATTCTCAGCTTGTTAGGTTTCCTGGGGTGGAAGACTGGATGATGAGGAAAATACCAAATTCGCCCATCAGAGTGGTTATCGTTTACCTTTTCAGCGTAATCTCGTTCTACATACCGAGTCATGGAGTCTACATAGTCTTGGAACAACTTCTTATCCCGAATAAGTCTACCTTTCAAACTGCTAGGTCTACGTTCTGCTAATTCTCTGTTATTAGGTAACTTGTGGTTGTGCCTCCAAGGTAGAGCTACTTGATGGTGCCCGTTTAACCTTTGTACTGAATTTGATATAGCTCTGAGTGCTATACGATTGATGATGTCACAGGTATTCAGTGTTTGACAACGCTTCTACCAGTAACACCTTCTACTATATTTCGTTCCCGCCCAGAGAAATCAAAAGACAGAGTCGAGGAGATCGGAAGAGTATATTTGGCGATGACCAATATATCAGAATTCTCTGATCTAATCTGGCTAGCGATTGCGGTTGATGTTGAGCACGGCGTTACCACACGTGATCTGGTGCGGATGCCTGACCGAGCGCCTTCAGCTAGGTGAGTCCACTAAAACATATGGTCAGCATCCAATGTCGAAAACTTAGTGCTATTTATTTTGGGGATTTATTTACCGCTACAGATCACTCCCCCCCTAGTGGGGCAGTGACGACCCTAAGACGTGGCCAGCCAGAAGTTTAAACCCAACGAGTTTGTCGTTGGTAAACACTCTTCTGATAGCCTACTAAATTTAGCAGCTTCTGGTCGTCTTTCCTTACTATATGGGACGGAGGTACAACATAGTAAAAAAAGAAAATGTACATGGAAAATTTCGGATCCTCATAAACGTCATCGTTCTTTTCCAGCCGTCCTGGAAAAGAAAAAAAAATGTAAGTGCATGTCGAAATACACTCGTATGTGCGTAAAAGCACAATGTCGGCGGAAAAAAAATGGAAAATAAACTCATGAACACGTAATAGCGTTAAAAAAATTGTTTTTTTGTTTTGTTTTTTTTAAATCGAAATAAAAATATATAAGGATATTAAAATTGTTTTTTTTTTAAAAAAAAATAATATAAAATGTCGAGAAGTGCCTTACGTGCAATAGTCGTTTAGATGTTCTGGAAATCTCACCCTTCTTCCAGAACGCGTCGTTTTAAGTTTATTTTCGGATACTGTCGAAGTATCATCGTGTGTGTTGGTTGTCGGATGAGGTATTATAAGTGTCGGAGTCGTGTCGTTCGATTGTACCGAAGGAAAATCCACGTAGATAGGATTTCCTTCTAAATACGCTGCTTTTAAGCGATCGATACTGATGCTATCGTTGGTTCCGTTCTTATCGACTATATAGTACTTAGATTCACGTTGAAGAACTTTGAAGGGTCCTTCGTATGCTGATTCGAAGGGTCGTCGATGCGAGTCTCGACGAACGAAAACGTGTGTACTATATCGTAAGTCAGGTTGAACGAAAACATCAGTTGATTGAGGTCGAGTGGAAGCAGGTTTAACTGAACGCATTGCGTTTGTAAGCCTGTTCGTGTAGGAGGTTAGATCCATGTTCATTGAAGAGGATGAAGGATCCACGAATCCTCCTGGAAGTCGAAGTGTCGTACCATAAACGAGTTGAGACGCAGTGTATCCAATGTCAGCTTTCACTGCATTGCGGATACCTAGTAAGACGAGTGGAAGAGCGTCGGTCCACTGTGAAACGTTTGCAGCTGATAGCGAAGCTTTCAGTTGTCGGTGAAAACGTTCTACCAACCCGTTTGCTTGTGGATGGTAGGCGGTCGTTCGGAATCGAGTGATTCCTAAAAGAGTGGTCAGACGACGGAAAAGATCAGATTCAAACTGACGTCCGCGGTCTGTAGTGATGGTTGAAGGGCAGCCAAAGTTTGCTACCCATCGTTCGACGAAGGTGCGGGCCACTGTTTCAGCAGTGGATGTCCTTGATAGGTACTGCTTCTGGCCATCGAGTGAAACGGTCTACGCAGGTTAAGAGATAAGAGTATCCATTTGAATCTGGTAAAGGTCCTACCAAATCCAGATGAACATGGTCGAAACGAGCATCGGGAGTTTTAAACGAGCCTAAGGGACATTTATTGTGTCTGATAACCTTAGATTTTTGGCAGCTTACACAGGAGCGTGCCCACTCCCTCACGTCTTTATTCATTCCAGGCCAGCAAAACCTTTCTGCAATAAGCTTGATGGTTGCACGAACACCTGGATGTGAAAGTTTGTGCAATGTGTTGAAGACATTGCGTCGATAATGTTTCGGCACGATTGGGCGATCCCTACCTGTAGATGTGTCACAAAGTAAGGTTTCCTTACCTGTTCCCATCTGTTTGATGCGTAGTTTAAGTGTTGTGGACGATAACTCGTGCTGAAGATCACTGTCTTCTTTTTGAAGCTCGGCGAGTTTAAGAAGGTCGATTCCTTGGAAACTGTTCAAGGAAGTTATACGAGATAAAGCGTCTGCAACTACATTGTTTGCTCCAGAGATGTGTTGAATGTCTGAAGTAAACTGCGAAATGTAGTCCAGTTGTCGAGACTCACGGGGAGAGTACTTGTCTGAAGGAGAGCTTAACGAGAAAGTGAGCGGTTTATGGTCCGTGAAAAGAGTGAATTCACGACCTTCGATGTAGTGTTGGAAATGCCGTACAGCACAATACATAGCTAGGAGTTCCCTACCGAATGTGCTGTACCTCGATTCGGTGTCTAGCAACCTTCTTGAGAAAAATGCCAAGGGTTGCCAGGAGTTGTTAACCCATTGTTGTAAGACTCCTCCGATTGCCGAGTCGGATGCGTCTACTGCGATGCTAATGGGTGCTCGGGTGTCCTGATGTGCGAGCATCGTTGCTTTAGCAATCAGTTCCTTAACTGTGGAGAATGCTTTTCGTGCGGTGTCGTCCAAATTAATGGATTTCGCATTTCCACGAAGTTGGTCGGTCAGAGGTTTCATAAGTAATGCGCATTTCGGTATGAAACGTCTATAGAAACTTACCAGGCCGTTAAACGTGCGTAATTGCTTGACGGTGGTCGGTTCTGGGTAATCCAGAATGGCCGCCACTTTGGTCCTAAGAGGTCGAATGCCTTGAGCATCGATAGTGTGTCCTAGGAAGTCTAACGAGTCGGTTCCGAATTGGCATTTCTGAACGTTTACAGTTATGCCATGTTTTTGAAGTCGTTCGAAAACAAGATCCAGATGCTTGAGATGTGTTTCTCTGTCCGGACTTGCGATTAGACAGTCGTCAACATACGCGTGTACGAAGTTGAGACCTCGAAAAACGTCGTCTATGAATCTTTGGAATGTTTGAGCAGCATTCCTTAGACCGAAAGGCATTCGCAAAAATTCATAGAGTCCGAAAGGAGTTATGATAGCTGTTTTCGGTATGTCGTCAGTAGCCATAGGGATTTGGTTATACGCTTTAACCAAGTCGATTTTCGAAAAGACAGTTGTACCTTTCAAGGTAGCTGTCAAATCGTGAATGTGAGGCAACGGGTAACGATCGGGAATGGTTTTCGCGTTCAATCGCCGATAGTCACCAGTTGGACGCCAATCGTTGCTGTCCTTTTTAGGGACCATGTGCAACGGAGATGCATATGGGCTACTTGACGGTCGTATGATTCCTAAGTCCATCATGTGATCGAATTCGTTTTTCGCTAACCTTAGCTTTTCCGGAGCTAGTCGTCGTGCTTTAGAGAATACAGGTGGTCCTGTAGTCGTGATGTGATGTGTAACATTGCTGGTTACACACGGTAGTTTCGGTTGAGTTTGTTGTATCCCAGGGTACTTATCGAGTAGTGGTTGATAGAGTGGGTCTATCATATGTTTAACTGTGACTGGGGATACTCTACAACCAGTAAAAGAAGTTACGCAAACGGACAAATTAGTGTTTCCGTCTACTAGCCTCCGTTTGCGCGTGTCGATGATCAGATTGTGGTGTTGTAGAAGGTCCATACCAATGATTGGCATAGAAACATCTGCAATAACGAAAATCCAGTGGATGGGTTTGCGTAAACCCACGTTAAGGTAAACGTACCTTTTGCCATACGTAGCGATCGGTTTTCCGTTTGCCGCCTGTAAGTTAAAAGCCGATTCCTGAAGCCGGTCGTTAGGATTTGCTGGGAGAACGCTAACTTCTGCGCCAGTGTCGACGAGGTAACGAACTCTCGTTGTCACATCTGTGACGAATAACAGACGGCTTTGTTCGCCGGCTACGGTTGCCGTTAACGCGTGCCGGCTTGGAAGTTTCCCGAATTGCTTTTCGAATCAGTCGGTTTCGTGTTGGGAAAATTGCAGGGTTTTCTGCAATTTCTGGAAAGCTTTCCATACTGGTTATGATACCAGCACCAGTCGGGGTTATCTGTCTCTCGTGGTCTAGAGACAGATCGCTTACGAGAAATGCTTCTACGTGGTGTGCGCGATCTCTTACGGTCGGTACGAAGACTAAGATAACGCGTGAGTGTGTGACATAAGTCGGTTATATCATTCTGAGTCGTGTGAGGCTTTTCTTTGACTGAAAATACCTCGGTTGTAGGTTTCGTAATTTCTAGAATGCGGTCGGCAGATGCAGCTAGTTCGTCTAAGGCATTGTTCTGGAACGAGACCAGAACTGCTTGCACCTGTTGGGGAAGTTTTGACAAGAAGAGTCGTTTGAATAGGCCTTCGTCGAAAGTTCTTGGGCCTATTACCTCTCTCATCCGTTGCAACATGTCTGTCGCAGAACCGTGTTGCAGGTCGATATTGTTGAAGAGTTGATCTAACCTTTGTCGATCGGTTAGGTCTCCTCGTTTAAGAATCGAGCGTTTTAAGATTTCGTAAGGATCGGAAACATCACTAGTAAACATACTAGGTGTTACGTACCTGTTGAATTCGCGCGGTAGTGCCTTGACTACTGCGAGGAATTGTGCACGTGTGTCGATCACGCCGTGCTCGGAGAAGTCGGCTTCTGCGTAGCAAAACCAGGCTTCGATGTTGTCGGGCCAGAAAGGCATCAGTTGAAACGAAGGCGGGGACAAAGTCTTAAGCTTGAGTACTTCAAATGGTTGTGGACGGAATAGAAGAAGCTTTCGCTTAACAGGCTTCCGTGTCTAGTAGCAGGGGATCACCAAATCCTCCAGGCAGGAACCTAGGTATGTTAACAATAAAAGAGGAAAAGAAATTGGTAAATCATAGTGCGATGCTGTCCTTGGTCCTTAAGAATAGGTCAAGTTGCCTCTTGAAGGACTCCTGAGAAGTCGCTTGGACTAGCTCGGCCGGCAGCGAGTTCCAGCTTTTGACAACTCTTAAGGAGTAGAAGTTGTGTCTACATTCCGTCTTGCTATGTTGTGTTTCCAGTTTCTGGGTGTTACCCCTTAGGTTATTGTTCGAACTAAGCTTAAGTAGGTGTTTAAGAGGATGTCCAGAAGTGTTAAGAATACTATAAGCCATTAATAAATCACGTCTAAGACGCCTATATTCTAGTGGGTAAAGGTCTAGTGAACGGAGGCGTTCTTCGTAAGGCTTAGATTTGAGTCCTCGAACTGATTTCGTGGCTCGCCGTTGGATACGCTCCAAAGTGACATTATCCTTTTGGAGTGAGGGGGGGGAGTACTATGTTTCCGTACTCTAAATGGGGACGGATGAAACTATTGAAGATTGTGTGGAAAGTTCTTCCGTCAAACTGACCAAAAATGCGCCTCAGCGTTACCAGTGCAAGGTTTGCTCGGAAGGCATTTTTGTCACAATTAGCGTAAGACTTTAAGTCATGGGGCACCAGGACTCCTAAATCTTTTTCGACTTGGGATACTACTAGAGAGGAGTTTCCTAAGTTGTAACTGTAGTTTGCGACATGTCGCAGATGGACTACTTTACACTTAGAAGTGTTAAAGGTAAGTCCGTTATCGTCTGCCCAACTTTGAAGTCGAGTCAGATCCTCTTGAAGTGCCTGTATATCGTCTTGGTTGCGTATCTCTCTCCAAAGTTTCACGTCGTCGGCAAAAAGTAATAAGTCTGACGTTACCTGTTGAGGAAGATCATTTATGTAGATCAAGAAGAGAAGAGGCCCCAGTACTGAGCCCTGGAGGACCCCACTAGGACATTCCATAGTTTGAGATAAAGTGAAATTAACCCTAACCTTAAAGTGTCGATTTTTTAGGTATGAAGTAAGCCAGTCGATTAGAGGTGGTTTGATACCTAGTCGTTTGAGCTTGTTGATAAGACACAAGTGGTTAACCTTATCAAAAGCTTTTGAGAAATCAAGGTAAATGACATCAACCTTTCCCTTGCGATCGAGGATGCTTGTCCATCTGTCCACCGCAGTCAGCAGGTTGGTTATACAAGAGTAACCCTTCCTGAAACCATGCTGTTGGGGTGAGAAGAAATTTAAGGACAGTAGGTAGTCATTTAAACCGTCGCATATCAGGGACTCCATGAGTTTTGAAGGTAACGACAGAAGAGCTACCGGCCGGTAACTTGAAGGTTCATTGCGTCGACCACCTTTGAAAATTGGTGTGATGTGAGCCAACTTCCAATTTTCCGGTAGTTTGCCTCGGCTAAGCGAGTGTGAAAACATCACGCTAAGCGGCGTTGCCAGGATTGAGGCTGCCTCCCTCAGTATGGCAGGATGAACCATATCCGGGCCAGGAGAAGTGTCAAGTCTTAAGTGCTGCAGTTTCCGGAACACCAAGTCAGCGCTTAGGTCCACTTCAGAAAGTCCTGTGGAATTGCAGATGAAACTGTCATGAGTAAAGTTGATATCAGCCGGTTGAAATGTTTGAGAGTAATGGGCCGCCAGAAGGTTAGCGGCGTCGCCATCGTTGTTGGTCGGGCCGTTAGGACCTAGCAGTTGAGAAACTCCTGTTTTGGCTTGACGAAGAGAGGCTGCATAACGGAATAGGCTTCTAGGATTAGAGGCGAATTTGTCCATAAGCTTTGTTTGGTACTGAAGCCTGTCTTCTCTTATAGCCTTCGTGCATGTGTTCCTGATATGTTTGTATTGCCTATACGCTCCATCGTTATTAGTTCGTTTGTATTCCGCCCAACAGTGCCGTTTGCGGCTTAGGAGGCGAAGGGTACGGTTCTTGATTACTGTAGGTGGCTTGAAGCTTTTGGGAACCGTTTGAGGAACTGAATGGTCTGTAGCACATAAGAGCGTGTGCAGCAAGAAGTCCCAATGACCATCCACATCGATTTGAGGGTGAACATCCCAAACCACCTGTTGTAGATGGTCATGTAGAGCTCGCACATTCAGCCGTTTAAAATTCCATCGCAAATTATTGTTGGGATACCTTAGCTTAGTTTTGATGACAAAACTGAAGGCTATGACGGTATGATCGCTTTTTCCCAGAGGAGCCAGGATTGAGAGGTTGTCGACTAGGAATTCTTCGTTAGTGAATACACAGTCTAAGCGCGATGGTGTCTGACTGTTTCTCCAACGAGTTGCCGACCTCACATTTTCATATAAGCCCAAGTTATCGATGAGGTTGAAGAACCGAGCTTCAGTTGAGTTGTCGCCTCCAGTGTACTTGTGTTCCGCGAAGTTGACTCTAGGGAGATTAAAGTCCCCTAGAATCAGGATGTGTGTGAAACCGAGACGGATAGAGCGGGATAGTCCTTCCAGCATACGACTATCGTACTCGGTGTCGGCAGTTGGCTTCCTGTAAATGACTCCGACTAGACACCTGGAAGTACTAGACAACCTTACAGAGCACCATATGGATTCCTCAAGATTGTTAAACTCGAGGTTGTGAACCTGGTGCACCTCCAAGCAAGAGCTTATGTATATGGCTACTCCCCCCCCAATTCCTATTTTTCTGTCGTTGCGGAACAAAGTCATCCCAGGTAATGCTAACTCTTGGTCCGAGAACTGAGAAGATATCCAGGTTTCAGATATTCCTATCAGATGGGCCTTGTTAGCGTTGCTAAGTTCACGTAGTTCATCCAGTTTGTTTGGTAGACTCACGGCGTTCATATATAAGCAGTTTATACTTTCAATTTGGAACGCGTGAGCTTCGTCCTGTTTTTCTGTATAAACCTTATGTGAATGGACAGGTAGCCCACCTATATGAGGTTTGCCGAGGTGGTAGGCCCTGTCCTTTACACGTTTTTTTTATCGTTTAGACAGTCCACAAGTGGAATTGTCAGCTCCAACTTGCCTTTGTTCTTGGTCCTGACTTCGTATGGCCTATCCGGGTGCATGTGGATTCCAGGTGGCAATCGACGTCTATTAGCACGAAATGCTTCCAGAACTGCAGCCGCCATGTGGGAAGATGGGAAGGTTATCTTCATTAGACGGGGTCTAAGATCACCGTCCTTCTTGGCTAGTCTCGTCACATGCTGAGTCAGTATGTGTTTGAGCCTCAAGGACTGTTTGATGAATTTCCATTCCCTGATGTCAGAATTTGATTGAGTAGGGTCTGCATTTTCCGGTATACCTTGGACAATTATATTTCTTCCGCGGAAGAACTTCTCGCGAGATTCTTTAGGGACGTTTCGTATGATATTGCGCTCAGAGTACGGTATGTCGGGCAATATTCTTACGTTACCATCTGATTTCAGTAAGTGACTTGCTAGCAAGACATCCTCTACGTCGGTAGCATTCTTAAGTGTTACTCGGAGAAGCCTCGGGTGATTTAGATGCTTAGAATCCTTTCCTCGAGTGAGCCGGGTGACCGTCAAAGGCTCTATTCTAGGAAGTTCGAGCTTTTTGTCTGTTCGGTCATGATGAAGTATGAAGTACGATAATGAACAAGGGGAAAATATATATATCCAGGAAAAAACACGAAAAAAATCACAATGTTTAAAAAAAAAATAAGGCAATGATAAATAAAAATCCCAAAAAGGAACAGACTCACAGTTGCAATTAGGTGTACCAGATCACGTCGGGCTCACCAATGATGATGTCACAGGTATTCAGTGTTTGACAACGCTTCTACCAGTAACACCTACTATATTTCGTTCCCGCCCAGAGAAATCAAAAGACAGAGTCGAGGAGATCGGAAGAGTATATTTGGCGATGACCAATATATCAGAATTCTCTGATCTAATCTGGCTAGCGATTGCGGTTGATGTTGAGTACAACTGTTCGAACTT